GGCTTTGTCCACCCGCCGCGCTGCGGCTCCTCCCAGTTCCCGCCGGCTCCTCCCCGCCCCCTCCGCCGGCCCCACTTCCTAGGCGGCGCAGGGGACCGGGGACTAAGGGGTTAACTCGGAGCTCTTCCCGGCGCGGAGGGATCCGGAGGCGAGCCGATCGTGGTGCTGAGGCCGCCTCAGCGAAAAAAATGTCCGCCTGAGGAGACCCACAAGTTCTATTCGGGGGGACCGTCAGCCCGCCCCGGGAGGAAGGGGCGGCCAGGCCCGAGAGCCGCCTCCCCCACCCGGACCCGAGAGCTCGAACGGGGCAAAGTGAACCGAGCCGCCGGGCGGTGCAAGGGGAAGCCTGAGCCCGCTCTCCCGGCCAAAGTGAACTTTAATCGGGGTGGTTGGATGCGGAGACCGGGCGGCAGGTAATTGCGGGCTGGCGAGCGGGAGGGGAACGGCATGGCGGGGTTGGAGGTTGCGGGGCGCCGCTGCGTCCCTGCCAGGGCGGGGGCGCCCCGGCCCGAGCCCCAACTCCGCACCCCTTTGTACCGCGCCAAACCTGGGGTCCCCTCCAAGTTGGGGAGCGAAGTGGGGGCGGAGGCGCGACTCGCGAGCGGTCAGGCCCGGGGGCGGCGCGCTCGGCCTGCGCGCCCGGCTCGGCGCTCGGCTGGGGCCGGCGCTCGGGCTCCGGGGCGCGCGGGAGAGCGGGCGGCTTCGGCCGCAGAGCCAGGCTCATTGTTCGGCAGGTCCCGGCCAGGGCAGCAAAAGTGGGAGGAGGCCGAGCCGGGGTGGAGGACGCCGGGCGAGAGCAAGAATAGTTGTTGGCGTTTCAGTTTTCTTTTTAAAAACGACCCTCGGACGCGCAGGGGGTGCTTTCCGACCCCCCGGGCCCTCCGCGGACGTCCGGGCGGCGGCGGCCACAGATGCGGCCCGTGAGCGGCGCGTTCCCCGCAACTTGTCAGTTCTATTGTTGCCGAGCGAGTGAGTCACTTCGCATCTCCCCTCGCTGCCGCTCCGTTCGCTGGACGCCGAATTGCCCCTCACCCCGCTCCTCGAGACCCCCGCCCCGGCCGGGCCCCGCGCGCGGAGCTCCCGGCGGCAGCGCGGGGCAGGGGGCACCGGGGAGGGGGCAGGAACCGGCTTAGAAACTTGCTGGAGAGGCAGCGAGTTGCGGGAGCCACCGTGTCGCTCTCGGGCCGCGCCGAGGAACGCGTGCATTCGGGGATCTGGAGCGGGCGCTGAGCCCTCCCGCCCCCTGCTCGCGCCGCGGTGGGAGCGATTGGGGGGATTGGAAGTCAGCCCGGCGCCCCCAGCGTTCTTCCTGTTCTCCAGCGCCCCACTCCAAGCCCCCCACACACTTTGGGCCTCGGTGGTCTCTCGTTGAGCCCTTTTCCTCTGTCGTAGGACCTGCTAGAAGTGGCCGAAGATGAATCCCCAGCAACAGCGCATGGCCGCTATAGGGACCGACAAGGAGCTGAGCGACCTGCTGGACTTCAGTGCGGTATGAGAGCTTTCCACGGGGTTCTGCGGAGGTTTACCGAAGGAAAAGAAAAGGGGGAAAAAAAAAAAGAGGAGGAAGGCAATGTGGAGTCTGGGCAGCTTGAACTCCATCTGCTTTGAGCAGTAGTTCTCAGGGCTGAAGTCCAGCTCCCCCAAGTTGGACACCTGAACTTTGATGTAATGTCTAGACTTGTAGATTTAAAACTTTAATGCCAGAGGGGTCATTTGATTTAACTAGTTAAAAAGAGAACAATGTAACCATGAGCTTTGCTTGAGTCACCCTCTTACGCTGATGATTATTAGAGATTTTGGACATTTTATATGAAAAAAATTTTTTTTCTTCAACCCTTCTCACTGTTTCCCTCCCCAACATCTGATATACTTTATGGTACCTGAAAGATGTCAGCTGCATGAAAGCCAGTCCAGAGCTAGAAATTCCAGCCTTTTGAGCCGAGGACTTTTATTTTAAGATTATATGTGTGTGTGTGTGTGTCCTTAACATGGGAAATAACTTAAAAATATCAGCTGAAACCTGAGGACCCACTGCCCTTATTTCTAATGAGTGGAATTCCTTTATTAACTGCTTTAGGAGGCAGGACCAACATCTGCCTTATAAACTATGTTATAATCCTTACTGTATGTAGTTATTTCATTGGGCATGATTTTGACTGTATATATGTATTAAGTTGTAATGTAAATGTAATGGGATTCCCTTAGTTCCAAAGTGAAGACTATGGGTAAAAATTTATTGTTTAAACTTAACAATCTTGGAATCTCATGAAAGTGATTGGATTTTCACAACAGAATGTAACGAGTATTTCCAAGCAGTGTTAGGAAATAGTATCACTCAGGATTTTTGCCTCTCTGCGTCTGAATGTATCTCCAGTTTTATTTCAGCATCCCTCTGAAATATAGTAACTAATCAATGGCTCTTGACGGACTTTAGTAAAGTGTCTAGAGAAATTTCAGGACTAACGGTTATATTTGGGTTATTTTGCAGATGTTTTCCCCACCTGTTAATAGTGGGAAAACCAGACCAACTACACTGGGTAGCAGTCAGTTCAGTGGATCAGGTAAGATGATGTTTAAATCCGGAAACTTCTATTGTGCTGTTGTGATACATTTTAGTATAAAATATAAAGCATTTTAGTATCTTTCTTCATGAAGTTCAGGTATTGCACATGTACACATAAAAGGTGGAGTTGAGTCAAGCAATAATTAGTGAAATTTTTTTATTTTAAAAGATGGTGCTTCCCTTGGAAATCTGTAGGAAATCAATAATTTTGTCACAGTTATTTGAGATATTGAGTAAATGTCAGAAATGAATAGAAATTTAGCTTCATTTTTAAATGACACCTATTGGATGGCTGAATTCTGTCCTGTATTCAAATTATATTAGGGTACTTTTTAGAGGAAGTTAAATTAGATTTATATTCCGACACTAGTACTGTCATCTTTATATTTGTAACAACTCTGCCTTGTTATTAAAAATTTATCCCATTTTTCTTTGTGCATTTTTTGTTTTTCTAACTTCTTAAAAACTCATAGTTTTTAAATATTCTGTAGAAGCAAGGCCATCTTAGTGTATAAGAGCTGTAACTTTCTGTTTAATTTAAATTTATTCCTTAGTGCTCAGAGATTAAAAAAAAAACTAATGCCATGATAGCATCATCTTAAGAAAATCAGCTCTCTTGGCTGAAACTCAGTAATTTCTCTGATCGATGTGTTATATTTCTCTTAGTAAAATGACAGTTGATTTCTTAAAATACTATGAGAATAAAACATGAGAAAATAAGGTTAATTTCATAACCAATTTAACTTTATGCCTCTTTACATTTTAAAAAGTTTCTATTTCAAAATTACATACTAATTTACTAAGTTGTTTTTAATTATGAAATTACAGCTTATAATGAAAACATTCCTTTAAACATCTCAAATAAGTAGAGTAAAAGCATTTTTAAATTTTAAATAGCCTAAAGGCTAATATAATCCTTGATCAAAGAAATATCATAAAATGTTAGCCAAACCCTAGCTCTTCTCTTACCTCCTTCCTTTTATTGGAAATCATTTGAAAATTCTTACTTTTGGGGGGAGAGGAGGAGAAAATTGTTAATGTATAAGGTAGCTGTATTCCATTTCTTTCCTGATGTTATGAGAACATCTCAGTTTTTACAGTGAATAATGTATTCTTGGAAACTTTTAAATTTACTTTGTCTAACACATGTAATAGACGCTTAGTATATTTCATTAAGTGAGCAGTGGTACTATCCTTTCATACTGTTCTAGCTTAAATTATAGAAAATATATTTAACTGTGTACTTGTCAAAAATAAGAATGAGAACTTCAGAAACTTACTAGAAATGCATTCTTTTCAGAATAAAGGCAGTTATATTTATTTCACTTTTAAAATTGAGAAGAATAATTTATGTAGCCTGAAATTAAAAAGTCTGTGTGAACTTAGATGTAGATTGCAAGCAGTAGCATTGAAGCAGTTGTTGGACTTCTTTCAATAGGTTGTATTACACAAAGAAAAAGTTATTTTTCTGTGTTACGAGTGGTCACAGTATTTGATTTCTTTGGAATAGGAAATTTTTAGTTAGACAACTGTTAGATTTAGATTTGTTATCCATTGATACTTTGACCTTAAACTCCTTTGTTGAGTGGAACAGCAATATTTGTGTGTGATTTGCTTTAAATGCTAGAAAAAAATTATAATAAAAATAAGTTATGACCTTTAACAATTAGTGGACAAATTTAAATTTGGGAAAGAGAAATGTCAGAAATGATCATTTTATATGGTTTTTCTATAGCTGTTTCATAAAGGGAATGTCTTAATGAAATTGGTATAATATTGTATTACATACTTTATGTTTATGTACTTTATTGACATTTGAATAATCTTCTGCCCTGATTTCAAAGGATATTATGTAATACAATCTAATGTTTATTTGTAGTATATAAGTAGCTGAAGATTTGACTTTGCTTCAGAAAAGTTTCTGTAAAGATTAGAGGTTTTTTTTTGTCTGTGGAGTAATATTTGTTAACCCGTATGCCTTTTGCCTCGTGAAAACTGTAGTTTAGCATTGTGCAGTATAGTTTCTTTTCTTAATTATTTGTCCTTGAGGATGAATTCATTTTACAGTGGGTAGCTTTTGAGAAATAATATATAATACTTAGAGAATCTTTTTAGCTACAATTATATGATATAGAATGTGATATTATGTTTCTAATTCTTGAAGCAAAACAAATGACACTTTATCAAAAGTCGCTATGGAAAAGACAAAGGTGTGTTTAGTATTACTTACTTGTCTTGAGGAGTCTGTTACAATGTCCATTCTCCATTGAGGTGTTAATTTTCTTTGCATCATGGTAAGACAGTAAATTTGTCCCTTTAGTATGATATACTCTGTGAACGTGTTCTTATAATGACCTTGAAAGAAGTGTTTCTGTTGGAGAGAAATGTGAGGTAGTCCTAAGGCAGTGGGTAGAAGGAAAGTTTGTTAAAGGATTGACAAAATGGAAATGGTACAGGTGTGTAAATTAATTATTTCCAACTTCAGGATTTGAGTTTGTGGATCTAAATTGTGATTTTGGTTTAATTTTTAGTAGACTGAAGTGTTTGCATGATATCTGAAAATTTCCTTTGTTAGTTTTTGAATGCAAATAATAAGATGTTGGAAGGGGGTGTGGCATATTGTTTGGCAAGCCATCTGCATATATTGAGTATGCTTCTCTCTGATATTCCTATCTAGGAAGTTCATTAACAGCAAAGCTTTATTTTTTCTTATTCATATCAGACATTTCTTCTACCATTATAGACTCCTTTTTTTCTTGCCCAGCATTTTTGGAAATAATTGTAAGAAGTATTATCTAGCTCCTAATTTTTTTTTTTTTTTTTTTGCAGTTTTTGGGGGCGGGGTTTGAACCCACCACCACGGCATATGCAGCTGGCGCCCTACTCCTTTGAGCCACAGGCGCCACCCCTAGCTCCTAATTTTTATTTATTTATTTATTTAACTTTATTTTTTTGCATTTTTTGGCAGGTGCTGGGTTTGAACCTGCCACCTCCAGTATATAGGGCCAGTGCCCTACTCCTTTGAGCCAGTCACTGCCCCAGCTCCTGATTTTTAAAAAGGAATACAGTTTTTCATTCTTCAGTTACCGATCCTTGGGAAAGGGTGGATTTTTAGAGATATATATAGGCTTTTTGAAAATGTTGATAGAGGCCCAGAAAAATGAATTCTCATTAAATTGTTCTAGAGTATTTTTTTTTAAATTATGTGAAACTTTTTATTTTGAGATAATTATAGATTCATATGCAGATGTAAGAAACAATGCAGAAATCCCATGTACCCTTTACCAAGTTTCCTGTAGTGGGAACATCTTATAAAACTGTAATACAGTTATTGATACAAATTTTTTATTTTTTATTTTTTTGAGAGGTTAGAGTACCTAGCTCCTAACAACCTGAAACTCTTACGTTCAAACAATCCTTCTGCCTTAGCCTCCCTAGTAGCTGGAACTATAGGCACCCACCACAATGCTTGGCTATTTTTCTGTTTTTAGGAGAAATGGGTCTTGTTCTTTCTCAGGCTTTTCTTTAACTCCTGAGCCCAAGGGATCCTCCTACTTTGGCCTCCTAGACTGCTAATTATAGGTGTGAGCCACCTTGTCTGGCTGATTTAAGTTATTGATAGTGATACAGTCAAGATCAAAAAGCTGTTCTATCAACACAAGGATTTTTGGTATTGCCCTTTTATAATGGTCTATAATGACTTTGAAAGAAGTGTTTCTGTTTATAACTGCATCTACTTTTCAAGTAATTAAATCTGTGGTAAGATTTTTAAATACCTACTTATCCTATTAAATATGAAGTAAGCTTTTCAAATTGTCATAACATTACTTGAGCATAACAAGAAAAAAGTCAAGAAGAGAAAACAAAATTTTCTAGCGTGTATGTTTGTTTTTTTACTGAGCTTTCATAGGAATGGTGATTTTAAATAGAGAAGCAACTAGGTTTTGGCCTTCCACGTGAGGTATTTTAAGTTTATGAGTAGGGTGTAGTTGATGTTATATACCTATCAGTGTTGAAATTTATAACTGTAATTTGTAGTGGTACACACTTGTTAGAATTTGTTAAAATTGAACCATGTTAGAAATTTGCCTCAGGTAATCTGTAGTGATAGATGAGAATGACCAGAATCAGTTCAATACAGTATTTTTTAGGATAAATGTGGTCTGCTATTAAGTGATTCATTTAAGGTAAGAGATAACTAGAAAAGGGTTTTTTATTTTTTCTAAGAGAAAAGCTGTACATGAAAATATAAAGTTGGAAAACAGAAAAATTAGAGACTTAACCTTGAATTTTTTTTTTCTTTTTTTATTGAGGCAGAGTCTCACTGAGTTGCCCTTGGTAAAGTGCTATGGCGTCATAGCTCACAGCAACCTCAAACTCTTGGGCTTAAGTGATTCTCTTGTCTCAGCCTCCCTGGTAGCTGGGACTATAGGCACCCGCACAACACCTGGCTATTTTTTTTTTTTTCCAGTAGCAGGCCCAGGCTGGGTTGGACCCTACCAGCCCTGGTGCGTGTGGCTGGCGCCCTAACCACTGAGTACAGGTGCCCAGCCTTAACCATGAGTATTATGTGCTTTTCAGAACAATTCCTGTGGTGTTCTTTTAAGTAGTCACTGGTTATACTGAATTTGAAAAACAATTTGATTAGATTATACTGTTTTAGAGACTTGTTTATTAAATATACTGAGGCATATCTGTATTATTTGCATTTGTTTTTATTAACCATTTAAATACAAATTCAAGTTTTTCTGCCTTTTGTGCTGTCCTTTGATATATCACCTTTCCATTTTTAAACAGTTTTTTTTGGACTAGGAAGATAAAAAGAAGATATCCATCCTTGAATATAAATAGTTGTTCTCAAATTTTAAATTTAATGGGGCCATGTGGAATACTTTTTATTAAAACCAGATAGTCTTTTCTGTTTTTGAACAATTGATAATCCTTCCTGGAATGTCATTACCTGCTCAGTGTTGTCAAAGACTTGGGTAACTCTTGCCA